AGGTTTGCGTAACATGTTGTGGCGAATTGAGGCTAATTGATGAAGTGCTGGCATGCAGCTCGGCATAAGTAGGGTACATGGTAGAACATGTATGTGTAGAAAACAAAAAAAGGGGGAGGATATAGCCTTCTTCATCAGTGGTATAGTGGAACCAGAGGTTGCAAACTTGAAACAGGAAGATTTTCTGAATGGCAAGTATTATACAGTAACATTATATGCCACCCTGTATGCTATAGCTGAAATTCTCATCGCTGCTAGAAAAGAAGTAGATTTTCACCAGAACAGTATATTGCAAGATACTCTTGCTGTAATAAAATGTATTTAAGGATGTTTTGTCTTGAATAGATAAGTAGCAGCCGTTAACTTTACAAAAAACTAGCTCCTAATTTCTTGACAAGTTGTCTGCATTTTTGCCTTATTGGGGAGGAGGCTGGCTATGTATGGGCACTGTCACAATGAGTGCCTCCCCTTCCAAATTTACCACTATGACACTTTCTTTCATTATTAATCACCATTATCTAGTTTGGCAAGTGCCGGTGAGAGGTACAGCCTTCTCCATCTCTGCTGTGTAACTGAAAGCTCTCAAACTCTAGTTAGGAATGTGATGGTGGCAGTAATTGGGAAGTGGACTTGCAGCTGTTTCTGTGTTTCTAGAACGACGGGTTCATTCAAAGATAAGCTTCTGTTTACTACGGCTCAGTACTGTAGTATAGCCTTTTCTCTAGTTGCTCCTTAAGCCTTGGGAAGCTTCTTTGGACTGCAGCTGCCAGAATACCTAACCAGCTTGCTGAACAATCATGATGGATGGGAGGTGCTGGGAGCTGTGTTTCAAAAGAGACCTTTTCCAAGCCCTGTTCATCCCCTGTTTGCTAACAACCTTTCCTGTTTGGTGGGATGGATTATTACAATATTCAGGTTTTCTCTCAGTTAAGCTACTTATGACAGATGAAAATGTATCTCTTCTGCCACTGAAATCTGGATGGTTTGTGCTTTATGCTCTAGAAAGCAGTAGAGTGTGAAGGTGTTGTGAGACTCCAACCATTCCATGAATGTATGATTTCAGAACCTAATATTACACACTAATGTGAGTATCGTGACTTTTTTCAGGCGATAGGGGAGACCTTGAAGAAAAAGTGGCTCTGGCTTCAAAAATGTGAGCTCATCTTTGCTTTGGTGGGTTTTCCTCCCATGTGAGAAGTTAAAAAGCACTGCATGCTTTTTCCCCCCAGTGCATCATTTTTAGCTGATAGCCTTTGCTGCACTCCAGCATTCAGCACGCAAAGACCAATGTCTTCCGCATGATATTGACTGCTAGCACAGTGATAACCGCACCCACAAATTGATGCCACAGATTTTACAATTGAAACATAGATGGAATTGTGCATATTTGGCCGGAGACCTTTTGTTATGCTTAGCAAGTCGAATGTGCTTCCCATCAGATTAAAAAACAAACACCACATCCGAATGCTAATTTTAATCTCCTTCACTATGACGCATTTTGCAGTTCTTTGAATATTAAGGGGGTGTAAAAGAAAGAGCATGCGTTCATTTGATGACACTTTTTGTGAGCATGCACTGTAGGATAATCGCAGATCACTGGATGAATATTTTGCTTTGGTTGCTGTTGTTTTGGCCAGTATCACAGCCCAGGCATGCATTTTATGTACGAGAAATATAATGTTGTATCCATGTCAACAGAGTGATCTTACTCATTATGGATTGAAAAAAATGTTGCATTATAACCTGATATATAGGTGCCGGCATCAAGGTGCCTAAATGAACACTGAAGATACCACAGGCCCCAATGTTGAATATCATAGGACCTCACCTGGATCTGCATTTTCCCAGTTCTGATTAAATATTATTCTATGACCATATTTATATCTGTGTCGATATGTGGTATCTTGAAAAGAAGCACTTCTAATGAAATAATGGAAAATAAGGCCTAAACTCCTATGAAACCATATTCCGCACATTTTGTATCATTATGTGTCACCAAGTCACCTCTGACTTAACGGCAAACCTGTGAATTGGTGCTATCCTTATCCACAGATGCAAGGATGTGGCTTTCGTTAGTAAATCAGTCCCTCTCTTATTTGATCTTCCTGTTCTCCTGTTGCCTTCAGCTCTTTCCAAACATCCCAATATCCTTGTTTTTTCATGTTTGTGGAATTCTTTGATTTGTAGTCCGAACTGGGGTGGGAATCAAGCCCAGATCTGCACATCATGCCTTTTGTACATATTTGAGTTATATTATCTGCTTCCCCTCTCTCTTGGTTCTGGGGCACAACCGCTTGCCCCCATCCTCCTTCTTACAGATATAACATTCCCATATTTTAATCCAACAGAGCCCTTTAAAACAGCTCACTATTTCACCACTTGAGCCACTAAGAAATACAGTGTTGTGCAATCATATTGAAGTCCAGTTTTGATGTATCATTTGCTCTTCCATCCCAGTAGATATTGATGTCATGAAGAGACTGTGGTATTCTACATACATGAATTTTGGATCACAGGAGAACTATAATTATTTTAAATATGCTTATGAGCCTCCAGAAAGTTGCAATACAGACACTTCTCACTTAATGACCTACCTGTTTAACAACCACTTGGACTTATGCCCATCTCAACCCCTCATAAATGGGTGCTTGTGTTTTCAGCACACCGTTTCAGGATGATACGTGACTTATTACTCTTATATTGCTCCTTGCTTATCAACCAGTTCGCTTCACGACCTAGTCATAGGAACGGAATTCAGTCATTAAGTGAGGAGTGCCTGTACTGTATTTTAAATGTGGTCCAGACTATTTGAAGGTGCCTTTGCAGCCTTAAAAACAAACTTGCATTTGAATGTTTTGAAGGACGTTTCTGGAGAGAATTGTTCTGTAAAGTTGCTAGCTCTCCTGGCATCCTACTGGCTAGCATCCATGACTCTCATCAAGATACCTTGTTCTCACTCCTAGAAGCAGTTTTAGAACTGCAATTAAAATACGTTTTTGTAAAGTAAAAGACAAAAGGCAGATAATGCTTTAAAATATGTTTACAAATTTAAGTAGCTCATCTGCTGCTCATGGGGTGAGGCAAAACTAAGAACTGATCTAGAATTGGACTTCCACTTGGTTACACAACAGAACCCCATAGTCAGCACTCCTAAAAATGTTCAGTATGCCTTCTCAACTAAGATCATAGCAGCATTTGATATAATTTTGAATCTTTGAGTGACAGCCCATAACACTGTCAACTGGGAGAACTGTGCCCCAGTGCAGTTGATAACTCAGCTGTGGTTATCTGTACTGGAAGGATGTAGGCTCAGTCTTGAAATTTGTATGAAACATACTGTTGCGCAGGAAAACACTACAAGAAAAAAAAAATCAAATTATTTGCGGAAACAAAAAGTCATCAAATTATATATGCATAAACTGACACTTGCTGAATGCTATAGGCATATATTTGAAAGTAATCCCCCGAAAGTCCTTTAAAATTCATGTCACATCAGAACTGACATAAAATCTACAAAATAACTCTATTTATACTTATGTGCTCTGAAAATTACTCTATAACAGTATTGGTGCAAGAATTATATAGCTTCAAATCTAATATGTTTATATATATATAAATGTTTTGTGCATTTAAAGAGAAAAAGTTTTTAAAATAATCTATGCTATGAATAAGAGTATTTTTGATTTGCATTGGGAACTTAACACCAGTAGAGGTGTACACAAGCATTTACTCTCGAAAACATGTGAGCTGATCTTTCCCATAACAATTGTTTTAGCTCTTGCTACCTCATATATTTAAATTTGTCTTCTGTTTTATAATTGTTTTTTTCTTTTAAGTCAGTGTGCATTGACACTGTTTTGTTGATTGGGGAAAACTTCCGGAGGGAGCCAGCATCGGCCCTCCAGAAAAAAAATGATTTTTTTTTGCCTTTCAAATGATGTTTCTTTTTAAATTCTGTTTCCACACCCCATCAACATTTTTTTCTAAAAAAATTCAAGTTCAGAAGAAATAGCTGTAGTACTACAGTATGCCTGTGTACACCTTCAGTTTTATTTGAAGAGAGTTTGTAGTTAATACTGCCATTCACTGAATGATTGCAGATGATAGCTTCTGTGTTGGAAACACTCATTACGTAGTCATTTGCAGCAATATTGATGTTTTGTGTCCCAAGAACAGGAGACAGTGGAAGTAAAGGAACTACCTGCTCAGTTTATGGATATGTTAATGCATAATTATAAAGTGTCTGAATTTACCCACAGGGCTACAGACAATGAAGATGTTCAGCATGTTTTTGCATATGCATTTTTAATGCGGGTTACTATAATTTCTGTTATAATTATTATCACATGTGGTGCCCAATTCTACAGCTTTAGCTTCCTGATACTCTGCAAGGCTATGCAATTGAATTAATAGTATTTCTAAGCTTATGTAGTGTTTTGGAGTGGTAAAAATGTTGGTGTACATTACCTTATTATCTTTAAAATAGCCTTGTAAGGTAGGTCAGCATTAGCGCTATCACACATTTTTTGAAAACTTAAGTCAAGATTGTCTGGTGGATGGTACAGGGTCAGAGGTTTAAGGGAGGTGGCACCTTATGTCTCAGACTTACTGAGTTCTCGGATGAGGTGAGATTGAAACTGGGGTTTTCTTAATTTTTAATTCAGTCCATTGGCTGCTGTGTTGCACTAGATGGTCCAGCAGCCGATTATGAGAAGGACATGATTCAATTGAAATTCTAAATCTGTGACACACTCCAAAAAACTATATTTAACTAAACCCTTCATAATCTTCTGGGCTATAGATGAGGAAACCTCTAGTGGGAGAACTGCTGTTCCCTCAGGAGATCGTAATAGTGACATGATGAAATAAGAATGTAGCATTGGGCACCATATAGATTTGTTACGCCTCTTAACAACTTCGCAGATGTATTTGATTTTCGAAATTCAAAAATTCAAAACTATTTTCATTTTCAGTAATATAACAATGCCTTCTACCTTTCAACACCTTGAGTTAATTCCAGGGCATTGGTTTTTTGCTTTTGTTTTCTTTTTTTGGTCTATGTGATGGTGGGGAGTTTAAAGGTAATATTAATACTGAGATCTTTCTATATCTGTAAGTTTCTCCTGACATAAGTCATTGTTGATTTCACTGTTGTAGGGGAAAGGCTCTAGGGCGGCAGATAAGGCTGTTGCCATGGTGATGAAGGAGATACCGAGGGAGGAGTCTGCAGAGGAAAAGCCCCTCCTTACTATGAAATCACAGGTGGGCAGAATGGTAGGAATTGAAGGAGAAAGCTGACATATGTTGATTTTCATAGAGATGAGATAAACAGTTAGCCTAGACTGATCTTCATACTTGGAGTCCAACTTTCAGTATGAGTGTTTTTGTTTCTAACGCCAAAAGGATGATGGGGAGCTGACACCGAAATTAATGTATTTCTAGCTGTGGCGAACTGTCCTGCAAGTTGGTTCTTTCAAAAAAAATATTCTTTGAAATACACATTTTAAAATGGAGTACATTTATTTATAAATGCATTTTTCATTGCCTTCTTAAGCTGTCATAACGCAGCTTAAAATATTACGAAAGTTTAAAAAATGTATTACAACAGAAAAAAATCTGAAAAAAATAAAGAATATATAGTCTGTAATGTTATATGGTGAGGGGCAATCACTCAGGCCTCATGAACTCACATATTATGTATTATTCTCGATAGTAAAAGAAAAAATAATAATGACAGATGTTCAAGTCAAATGATTTATGGAACTTCAGTGTGCATATGTCAGTTATCAGTGGAGTATCTATAACTGATTGAAAATGTCAAGTATGATACATGCTGTCCGTACTTCCATAATGCTGTATATATAAATGCACATTTGTAAATTTTTTTAAAAGGACATTGAGAAACCGTAAGCAGCAACTTCTCAATGGAGGAGTGTGTCATGCACTTTTCATTTTGTTTCACATTCCATCTCAGGCACAACATCAGTCTCTGATCTGTCTCCCTAGGCATGGGCTAATTTTGGTATTCTAAGCACGGCAACAGAACATAGGGCCAAACTAAATGTTGAGGTGATTTTTTTAGAAATCCCTGCAGTTAGCACATTTCCCCTCTGACAACAGAGTTTTGTTACAGATGTGTGCTTCAGCAATTAGATTTAACAAATTAAATCCCTACAGTTAGCACATTTCCCCTGTGACAACAGGGTTTTGTTAGAGATGTGTGCTACAGCAAATAGATTTAACAAATTAAATCCCTGTTTACTTCCAATGGCCAGTCAGAAATCGAAATGGACAGGGTGCAAGATATGGAAGCAGTATTTGCTGGAACAGACAGACAATTTTTACAACTTGAGGGAGCACTGCTTCTAAACAACTTCAAAGTGTATCATCCAGTTTTGAGCCTCAGGTACCTCTTCCTTTAGAGCTTCCTTATTTATCATCCAGTTTTGAGCCTCAGGTACCTCTCCCTTTAGAGCTTCCTTATTTATTTATTTTTAATGCATTTATTCTATTTATATCCCGCCTATCCGGTCGTTATGACCACTCTTCCTTGTAAATGAAGGAAGAATATGTTGGTGGATATGGCTGACTGTTCATATTCCCTGTATCTCCATGTTTACAACATTGGAGTGACTAGAGAGCACCACTGGCAAGGTTGACTCCTTCCCAGTTAGCACCCAGCTATTGTGGGAGCGTCAGTGGTGTTAGAGCTTTGTGTGAGAAGGGGGTGTTCGATGATATAACTCTGAGAGTTCTTGTCTTTGTGAACTTGTTAAATGTCAAGATAAAGGCTCATAGTTGATATCTTATCAACCAGAGAAAGAGATTTAAAAGAATCCTTTTATTCAGAAAAAAAACTTATTTTGTTGAGAAACATATGCATTTGTTTTATTGAAGACTGGTATCATTCAGACGTAAAACTAAATCTGTTCGGCATTTTAACTTGTTACAGGTTTGTGTTTTCATCTGAAGTTGGACAAACTGGTTAGTCTTAATTGTGGTTCACTGGAACTAGCCAACTTGAACATGTAAAAAAAAGATGTGGCACTTTAAAGACTAACTGCTGTATTTTAATGTATTTTGATGTAAACCTTCGTGAAACACAGTTCTATGAAAGCTTACATTAAAATACAGCATCTACTCTTTCAAATGCCACGTCTTCTTTTTGTCTATGTTTCTGCGTTTTTCTTGTTGAAATGCTTGCACAGAGTAACACGGCTACAACTCCGAAAACTGCAACTTGAAAATGTATTTTACAAAGTTGGCTTATTTCAGTAAAACAAGTTTAAGATCCAGGATCTTCATTTATTTTAAAAGGGGAGCAAGATCATTGGTTTCCCGATAGCACACACCAAAGGAGGGAAAGGATAGACATCATGGATCAGCATTACATCTGAAACAAGTTTTTAGTGCAAGAATAGGCGATAGGTTGTACCTTTATAATATTTTGTACTGGCCACATGGCTCTCCCCTTTTATTTCAAAAGCTTTTAGTGGTTCCAATGGATATAGTACAGCATGAACAATATTAATTACACTGAATATGAATTGGGAAATAAAATGGTCATCAATTATTTTGATTTACATTGTGATCCTGGCTGCAAGCACATATGAAAATGTCCTATATTTAGTCATAATATTCAGTGGCCCAATGTCTCAGCACCCCCCAAGATCCTTCCTAGTCTCTCTGATCATTTCAAAGTTACTTATTCAGTTCCTGTTGCTCTTTAAATGCTGATTAATTTATTTGAAATCTATAATAATCAAGATGCCCACTCAAACTTTCATTGTAGGTTATCCGAACCATATGTAAAAGATTCAGTTAGTCCATAATAACTATCCATGTTATCCTATATCCTTCAATTGTCTACTACCAGTTTGCAGTGCTGCATTATATATACAGAAACGCAAAGTGTTGTGGTTCGGTGTCATCACATGTAATAGCTTTCCTACATGGGTTACACTGAAAAATGTATGTATCATGTACAAAGAACTGGGACAACCTCTGGATTTTGTCTATATGTATATTCCTTGGAAATTCATTGCCAGACGCAACTATTTAGTGCATATATGCCTGGCAAAAGGGACGTGTGGTCTTCTTAAATAAAGTTATACATTGATGTGCCAATGTAGGAAAAACGTCCTGTGTGAATCAGCTATATCCTAAGATATCTGGAAGATGGAATAGGATGCTTTCCTTTGGGACATTCTATATGGATTTTATATAAATCACTTGATGTATCTTAGATACAGTATTGGGACATCTGTTTCGTATAACATGTTCTGTGCCCCATTTGTAGTGTTTCTCCATAACAATTCATCAGAAGTCATTAGTGATACCACTTTCCAAAGTAAAATATTTTATGTGTATGTTAGTCCACACACCCTTTTTTACTCACTGTGTATGAGTTGGCTTCATCCTTGTTATGCACCAGTAGACCACAAAAACCCAAGAGGAAGCAAAATCCAGAGAATGAGTGAGTATTTTTGATAACCATCTCTGCATTGTATATGTCTGTTTAGCAATACCTGATCATGTTCCATTTCCCATGTTACTGTTCTTAACTGTCTTGCTCTTCTCTGATGCCTTTGTCTTTACACTGTCCCTGTGCATATGTTGTTGAGAACATTTGTCTTACATAATGTAAAGCCTTAAGGAATAACTGACTGTCCTCAGCCCAGTTCCATGTTCAACAGGGAAGCTACTTTCCCATTCCACCCACATTTTTTACCATTATTAGATTCCAATATTGCATTGGCGAGGTAGGCAAGCCTTTGTTAAATTATCTAGATTGTGTGATTGCTTCTTAGGAATGGGAATGGATTTTTGTTTTTAGTCACCTTGGGTCTTTTTAATGAGAAATGTGGGTTTAAAATAGTTAAATAAATAAATAAATAAATAAATAAATAAATAAATAAATAATAGGTCATGATGGTGTTGAAGTGGGAAATCATCAAGCATTCTGATGTCTAGATTTTATCCATTATCTTTACACTGACGAGGGAAAACCATACTATCTACATGTTAGTGGTTAACAGGCTACAGAAATAATATGTAAATTGAACTTTAGAATTAGAGATCTTAAAGGAGGATCATCTTGTCCAGTTCTGTGCCCCAAAGCAGGATCTAACAAGATCTGTTTGTTTGATTGTTTGTTTGTTTGTTTGGATTTGATGTGTATCCCGCCTATCTGGTCTATGCGACCACTCTAGGCGGCTTCCAATATAATATAAACAATTTATAAAAACACATAGTTAAATAAATCTTCAAATGAAAATGTGAAAACCAAGAAAATAGAATAAAGATAAATAAAGGAGAAATGAGAAGAGAAAAT